ACACAGAATACCTTAGAAATGCATAACAACACTCTTAAATGTTTAAAACACCGTAACAACTGCATAGCAACGCCCTCGGGTTTGCTGTGATCCCAGCTGCAATCATAAATGATTTCTGGCTTTTTGATGCTGCTTTAGCTGCTATTTCTGCTGATGTTGAAGTCAACAGTGCCAGACGTGGGTCGAAGACAATGGCAGCATTAGATTTTCCTTGTATTCTGCAGCATTGGTTCTTTTGAGCGATCTGGCGGCTCTTGCATGAGTCTGCTCTCTCTCTGACGCAGGTTGGCCGCGGTCAAGCTTTTCTAGAGCCCAGAGAGACGTTAGCATGAAAAAGAGGCCGTTCTGACATGGACGTCAGCCTCATTCTGGCCTCTCTCTTTCCTTTAGAGTTACCGTTCTTTAGTCTTTCATATTCTGTGTTTTTTAGCCAGTCTTTCTCTTTCTCTCCCTCTGAAAGGGTTTGATTCAGAGCTCTTTTCATTGCTGGGCTGCTTGGCAGCGAAATATTCCACCGTATTCATCTCGCCTTTTTTTCAGACGTTATGTTTTTTTTTCCCTGGTGCTCTTGGTTTCACAGCAGCTTTCAGAGGATTCAGCACATTATAAAACTAGGAAACTAGCTGCAGCTCACAGACCTGATGTTTCTCATTTCAGAATTGCTTGTTTTTATTTGCATTGACTTTTAGTGCATCTACAGATGGTGTAAATGGTTTGTTCATTTATTTACATGATGGACATCCTGCAGCATTTGTTCTCCAGACATGAAGGTCTCCTCAAATCATGTTTTTTTTTTAAATTATTATTAATATTATTAATTGAAATGTGTATTTTTTAATTAAAAATAAATGCACATTTTTTTATATATAATGGTTATTTAAATGGTTAGTTAATTTACTCATAATCATCCTGCAGTGTGTGTGCTCCAGACATGAATAATTAATCAAATCACATGTCTCATTGAGGATAAGTGTGTTGGTTATTTTATTTTATTTACCTTTAAATTTATTTAAATTTAATTTAAAATTTAAATGTATACACATTTTATTAAATTAGTGTTTTTTAATTTAATTTAATTATTTTATTTAAAGATTATTTCTTCACATTATTTTTATGCATTTCAATAGTTGTTCCAAACCTGTATATAACTGACATATTGCTTTTTGCTGCTTGTCATTGTTCCTAATGTCTAGTTTAGTGTTTCATTGCATTGTTTGGCATGAACTGCATAGCAATGCCCTGGCAACCACCCAGAACATCTTAAAAACCACATAGCAACACTCTGAAATGCTTAGAAAGCCCTGGCAACAACACAGAATACCTTAGAAATGCATAACAACACTCTTAAATGTTTAAAACACCGTAACAACTGCATAGCAACGCCCTCGGGTTTGCTGTGATCCCAGCTGCAATCATAAATGATTTCTGGCTTTTTGATGCTGCTTTAGCTGCTATTTCTGCTGATGTTGAAGTCAACAGTGCCAGACGTGGGTCGAAGACAATGGCAGCATTAGATTTTCCTTGTATTCTGCAGCATTGGTTCTTTTGAGCGATCTGGCGGCTCTTGCATGAGTCTGCTCTCTCTCTGACGCAGGTTGGCCGCGGTCAAGCTTTTCTAGAGCCCAGAGAGACGTTAGCATGAAAAAGAGGCCGTTCTGACATGGACGTCAGCCTCATTCTGGCCTCTCTCTTTCCTTTAGAGTTACCGTTCTTTAGTCTTTCATATTCTGTGTTTTTTAGCCAGTCTTTCTCTTTCTCTCCCTCTGAAAGGGTTTGATTCAGAGCTCTTTTCATTGCTGGGCTGCTTGGCAGCGAAATATTCCACCGTATTCATCTCGCCTTTTTTTCAGACGTTATGTTTTTTTTTCCCTGGTGCTCTTGGTTTCACAGCAGCTTTCAGAGGATTCAGCACATTATAAAACTAGGAAACTAGCTGCAGCTCACAGACCTGATGTTTCTCATTTCAGAATTGCTTGTTTTTATTTGCATTGACTTTTAGTGCATCTACAGATGGTGTAAATGGTTTGTTCATTTATTTACATGATGGACATCCTGCAGCATTTGTTCTCCAGACATGAAGGTCTCCTCAAATCATGTTTTTTTTTTAAATTATTATTAATATTATTAATTGAAATGTGTATTTTTTAATTAAAAATAAATGCACATTTTTTTATATATAATGGTTATTTAAATGGTTAGTTAATTTACTCATAATCATCCTGCAGTGTGTGTGCTCCAGACATGAATAATTAATCAAATCACATGTCTCATTGAGGATAAGTGTGTTGGTTATTTTATTTTATTTACCTTTAAATTTATTTAAATTTAATTTAAAATTTAAATGTATACACATTTTATTAAATTAGTGTTTTTTAATTTAATTTAATTATTTTATTTAAAGATTATTTCTTCACATTATTTTTATGCATTTCAATAGTTGTTCCAAACCTGTATATAACTGACATATTGCTTTTTGCTGCTTGTCATTGTTCCTAATGTCTAGTTTAGTGTTTCATTGCATTGTTTGGCATGACATCGGGGCTGAGTATATGAATGAGTACAAAACTAGTAAATGCTTGAATGGGTGTCCTGCAGTGTGGCCTTGAACTGTAAGAAAAAATGATGGAAAAACAGAAAAGGTACTGGTATTTTCATCCAGAACATTTCCTTTAACTCTAAAACTCATGCAACACGTAACTCAGAAACAGATACAACACCTGTGAAAAATCAATACAGGAAATGATCATATTAAAACAGTACATTTGGCCCTATTTTTACAGTCTTTTCTTATATGTGTAAACACGACTCCTGGGGTCTCTGAGCGCGTCCCCTGTGTATTGGAGATCATGAGAAAGTTTCCAAGTCTTTTCTGGGAATACACACTGGACAAACTCCTCCTAAAGCAACTATAACAGCACTCGAGGCTCCTCGTTCTCTTATACGTCGCTCCTGAGGGACCAACAGCACTTTATGAAGTACACTTTTCCTCTGGCAGTATATTAGGCATGAGAGAGATGCAGGATTTGTGCGGGATGCTTGATTTTGATTGCTTCGGTGAGATAGTGCTGAGAGTTTTAAAACACACAATAGCACATTATTGCTTCCTTTTGATTGCCTTGTCGGAAAATGTTTTCAGTATGGTGCATCTGCGTTAAACAGCATCAGATCTCACAGTTAACCAGTGGAGTAAATACTACAACCGAAAATATAATATAGTGAACATTCAGGTTGTTAAGGCAAGACACCCCAGGTAAATAGACTACATTTGAGTTGTGTCTTGCCTTAAGCTCAAGTTTATTAGAGCAGGAGGATGATTTCTTATTGAAAGTTATCCGCTTTATTTCATGAAGCAACTCTTGAGTTTAATCGTGTGGCTAAAAATAGTCATGATTAGATCACCCTGCCGAACATCTTTTACGAGTTAAGAACATTTCTCCAGAGTTACGCATTTCACTCTTTTTCCAGCGACTCCCTCTAAGGATTCCTCCTCCGTTTTTTTGCTCTCCGCCTCTTCTCTGCGATATGTTCTTCCACCCTCTCAAGTTTTCCCACCCTGATTTTGCACCCAGTGATCCAGCCTTAACTGTTTCCAGGCCTCTAAAACACTCACCCCCACTCCATTCATCCGTCTGTCCATTTCCACCCACAACAACCCCGTACGATTAACCCTAATGTTTACTTACACACACACACACACACACACACACACACACACACACACACACACACACACACACACATCCTGGAGGATTTGGGTCTTTTGTGACCTCTGGCCTCTGTGAATGATCTCTAGAACACCTTGAAAGGGATCAAATCTCACATAATTAGACAGATCCTGTAAACTTTAATGTTTATATGCAGTTTTAGAAGCACTGAAAGATACTCGCATGCATTTTGGAAGTAAATAGTGCTAAAGTCTTAAAGCTTTGATAAAGAATATCTCTTTGGTTTTGAGACTTTAGTCTTTGCAACTTCAGGGATCTTATCTATGCACAATCAGCTTGTAACACTCCAAAGAGAAAGGAAAACTTGAAATCGCATCATATGACCCCTTTAAATATTACAGACTTTATCTAGTTTTTCAGACATCTTTATTAGTTGTGTAAGTCAGTCATTACTAGTACTAATAGTGCAGATAATAATGTGATCAAACCTCTATGTATTAACACTAACCAGCGTTGTTTTAGTATCATTAATATACTGTTTTGTAAATATTTTGAATTAGATGTTTTTTATGGGGTTTTTTTTTTTTCACTTTAATTTTAGTTGAAGTTTTAGTAATTTTGTTCTGTTTTTGTTATTTTTAAATGTCCATATAGTTTTTTATTATTTGATATTTATTCGTTAATTTGTTTAATTTTAGTTTTTACTACTATTTACAAGTTACTTACTTTAGTACTTAAAAATTTGAACTAATCAAAGATGAGAAATATTTCCTTGACAAATAACTGAAATAAAAGTTTTTATTATTTTATTTTATTTTATTTTATTTTATTTTATTTCAGTTAATGTTTAAGTAGTGATTTTTTTTTTGTTTAGTTTCTCTAATAACACTATTAATGTTGAGTTTGTGCATTGTCCCGCAGGATTGATTCCCCAAATCACGTGTATTGTTGTGGAGAAAAGTTTTATTTTATTTTATTTCTGTTTTTCTGTTTTTATTATGCTGTTGTTTTGTTGGGATGCTCACCGTGACCACAGTAGATGCCAGTTAATGTGCCGCAGTGAAAAATGCAACAATAACAGCGTTTGTGAAACATGCTACTGTTTGTGTGCAGTCAGGCATGTGTGTCCCTCTCTGAAGCCTGTGTGAGAAACGACCCGTGTGTTATTCCACAGCGCTGGACACAGTTTTTAAAAGAACTTCACTAGAGGAATTTGTCACACTTGGGTCAATTTTCTCTTTTGTAAAAATAAATGTTGAGGTGAGTTTGGTAAGATTGCTGTTTCCTTTAGCTTCGAGGCGAATCAATCCTGAGTTGTTTTCCTTCCGTCTGCAGAGTCTAAACGTGTCCTGCTCTGGAAGACAGCATGAAGAGTTTCAGCCGGTCCCAACTGACTGCCATGACAACAGGTAACAGACTAAACAAACCCCCAAAATAATGTTACTGTCAAGACTTAGCCAAATAAACTCAAACCTAAAGCTCAGTATTTTCTGCACATGACTCATTTAATGTATAGAACTCAGAAGGCTTTCTTTTACTGCTTATTTCACACTTTTGGTTTTTAAAAACAAACGGTGGCAGATGCAAATAGATAAAATGTAATAAAATAAAAGCTTAAATGTGTATTTTGGATGTTTTTTTCCACTCTTTTGAAACAAGACATGTTATAGAAGCAAAATAGTTTAAAATCGTAAAATTAACCAGTGCATTGCCTGTAGTGTTTTGCCTTAAAACCTACCTTAAAATTGTGATAAATTAGGTTATTGTAATTGAAATCTACAGATGCATATAGATAAAGCAGTGTAGTGAGAGCAGCTGAGAAGATCGTTGGTGCTCTGCACTGTTGTTTACTTCACTGGTTTGCACTCTATCTGCCGTGTGCTGCTTTATATATATATTTTTTTATATATATTTTATTTTATTTTTTTACATTTTACCTTATTTGTATAGTTGTATTTTATATTTAATCTGTATATCTGTATTTATGTTCTACTGTTAGTGTTATCTGTATGCACCAAGGGTCTGAGAGTAACGCAATTTCAATTCTCTGTGTGTATGTGCTGTACATGTGGAAGAATTGACAATAAAGCAGACTTGACTTGACTTGACTTGACTTGATAAAATGTTTGAACAAAGACATGTTGTAGAAGCAAAATAACCCAGAATCTTAAAATGGAGCAATGCATGCAAAAGAATATGGTTATAATTAACAACAAAATCTCTAAAAATGACATTAAAATGTTCATTCCGAAATTCTCATGACATGTGTTTTTCTTAAATGATTTATGCACACCTTGAGTTGTTGTAGAGCTGTGTTGTTTGAGTGAAGCTGTGCTAATCTGAATGCTGGTTTGTGTGCAGGTTTGCTCCTGCTCTGTCTGGGTAGCTCAGGTCTGGAGCTCAATCCCAGCATCTCTCAGGTCATCCTCTCCATCAACTCCTCCTTCAGCATCACCTGCTCCGGCTGGAATGACGTCACCTGGCGCTTCAAACGGGAGGAGAAAGTTCCGGAGTTCCACGTCGAGAAGCCAAGTTCGTCCTCCAGCGTTCTCAGTCTGGAGCAGGTGACGTGGAGACACACGGGCGTTTATGTGTGTTCGGAGAATGGGACAGACGAGACCAGAGAGGTGGCCGTCTTTGTGCCTGGTAAGAACTCATGAAAAGATTCAAAACTAGTTCATTTGTAAATGACTGTACTAGTAGGTCGAGTTTAAACAAGTGCAAATGTAAAACAACATATATCATTTATTTGAACATTTGAACATTAGAAATGCAAATTTTAACATCAAAACATGTTTTAGGTAGTTTTGAATGTGATTTTCTCATTCATATAACGTTGTGTGAGTTTTATTTGATTTATTTACCCACTTCCATATTTTTTTCATTTATTTGTGTATTCATTTATTGTTCCTCAAATAGATTATTTTGTTCATTCACTCATGCATTCATTCCTTTACTGATTCTAACATTTATTTGTTCGTTCACTCACTCACTCACTCACTCACTCATTCATACATTCATTCATTTGGGGATTCTCACATTGATTTAATGAAGTCATGCATTCATTCATTTATTATTTCTCATATTGATTTGTTCGTTCACTCACTTATGCATTTATTTATTATATTCTCACAGTGATTTATTTGTTCATTCACTCATGCATTCATTCCTTTATTGATTCTAACATTGATTTGTTCGTTCAATCCACAGTCTGGTCCAGACAGTCTCATTCTTATCCTAAGGGTGCCAGTGTGTCACTGATGACCAGAAACAACAAAACAGTAAATAATAATGTTATCATTAATAAGATATATTAAATGATGTGGAACTAGTGATGAATTTGAAGTCATACTGGGTCATACTGATTGTGAAATTATTGAATGTGTATCTGTATAAAGGTTTTTTTGGAGTAAAAAAAACAAACACACAAAAGAATGTTGTATGTGTCTAAGGGGAAATACTGCATCATATGACATGTATGTTTATCTGTAAAGTCCCTGGTAGACAGTGAAACATACAGTGAGATGCTGTTTCACTTGACTCCCTTAATTCAGATTCTTTTCACTCTCACTCACTCACTCACTCACTCACTCACTCACTCACTCATACGTTCATTCATTTGGTGATTTTCACACTGATTTAATGAAGTCATGCATTCATTCATTATTACTCATATCGATTTGTTCATTCATTCACTTGCATGCATGTATTTATTTGATTCTCACAGTGATTTATTTGTTCATTCACTCATGCATTCATTCATTTATTGATTGATTCTCACATTGATTATTTTCATTAATTATCATTATCGTTCATTTAATAATTCTTACATTAATTAGTTAATTCATTTATTCATTTACTTACGCATTCATTCATTTATTGATTGTCAAAATGATTAATTCTGTCATTCACTCACACATCGATTCTCACATTGATTTTTTTGTTCACTCAAACAATTCATTTATTAATTCTCACATTAATTTGTTCATTCACTCAGGCATTTATTCTTTTATTATTCTCACACATTCATTGATTTATTAATTCTCATATTGATTCTTTCATTCACTTACTCAACTCACTCACGCATTCATTCATTTATTATTTCCCATATTGATTTGTTCGTTCATTCATTCATGCATCCATCCATTTGATGCTTACATTAATTCATTTGTTCATTTACTCATGCATTTATTTACTTATCCATTCATTTGTTCACACACACACACACACACACACACACACACACACACTGATTCTCTGATTCTGTCCTCCTCAGATCCTGAGGTGTGGTTCCTGGAGAACGATCATTTAATGGTGACTAAGACGAGAGAAGAAGGCATGATCCCATGTCTGGTGACAAATCCCTCGATAAACATCACGCTGTACGAGAGTGACTCAGAGATAATGGTGGAGGGTTCGTACAACCCCAGCGTGGGCTTCAGCGCCGCCCTGGAGGACAGAACCTACAAATGCAAAGGAGAGCTAAACGGAGAGGAGAAAGAGTCCGTCGGCTTCTATGTCTTCAGTATATTTGGTACCTTTGCATCTTGATCCAATCCTTTTTTTATATTATTAAAAGGGTATTTTTTTGCTCAAATGTTGTTCATTTATTGCTCAGTAGACTTACTGATATTTCCAGTTGTGCTTTAAGTATCAACTTTGTCTCAAATGTTCAAAACAGACTATAATAAGTCACTACTCATCATCCAGTAAAAGTACAGAGCAATAAAATATTGAGATTATTGTCTTTGCAAATCTGAGCAGACAACAAAAGTTTGCTCTCCATTTAATCTCATTATTTTCTTTACTGCCAAAAATGACGTTCTTCCTCAGTATTTTTGTCTTGTACAGTATTTCAGTACAAATATCTAAATTTTCTTAAATCAAGATACATTTACTTGATAAACAAAATGACTTGCGATATTCTTGTTTTCTGGGAAATCTATCAAAATTAAAGGATTTTTGCTCAATTCAAGGGGAAACGATTCTTTTTCTGACCCCACTGGCAGATATTGATGACTATTTTGAAGATTTGTTTTACTGTAATGAAACAAGACAAAAAGACTTTGTGTAGTGTATTTAGCTCAATTTATTTCAGTGATGATTCAATTTAGCTCAATAACAGAGTCAGTGTTGCAAAATGCATGAAACTATGAAACTAATTCAGTTTTAGTAAAGCAATTAATTAAATATATATTTTATTTTTGCATTTTTGTCTTTTTTTCCAGTACAAATACATAAACATTCTCAAATCAAGATACATCAACTTAAGAAGCAAAATGTCTTAAGATATTAATTCTTGTTTTCTGAATTTTTTATAAATACCAACAAAAATATCTGCCAATAGGGCAAGAAAAAATATTTATTTATTTATATATGTATTTATTTTTTTGTTTGACTCAAGTTTATTTTTCTGACCCCATTGGCAGATATTTGCCCTGGTTTTAAGCATAAACAAGCATTTTTTTCAGTGTAGGAGAAAGGATTTTCATATTTGTCCTATACATATGGTCTGCTAATGCTTTAATATTACAGACATTTATGGTTGTATTTACCATTCATGTATCAACATTACAGGCAGTTATTTGCTGTTTTGAGTTAAAACGCTCACCATTTTCTTTTCATTTGTATTTGTAAGACGGTTAAATCATGGAGAGAGTCCATGTGTTGCACATTTGTGTCATCATTAACCGGACCGAGTCTCTCACAAACACATCAGATGATTTGTTTTCTATCAAACAATAGCCGTTTTTGTTCTTTCTTTTACACACATGGCTTCAGCTCCCGGGGCTCTGGATCCCTACATCAACGCCTCCAAAACGGTCCTGAAACAGGGCGAGATGCTGAACGTCAACTGCACCGTTCACGGCGTGGAGCTCGTCTTCTTCTCCTGGGACTTTCCCCACAAAGACGTGAGTGGGCTCAACTCTTTGTTTTCATTATTTTCTCGTCTCGAGCACTTAGTGCTCCCGTGAGAAGCTCCGCATGTTGAAATGAGCTCAAGATGTGCAGCCACACCTTCGTGAGGAGCGCGTGTTTTTATTATGAGAAAAAAGTCTGTTAAAAGAAAAGAAATACCCCTGAAAATCAGTTTCCGGGAGCAAATATTGCATGCTAATGGAAAAGTTGATTTCTGACACTGAAACCCCAAATGTGTTGCCCCTCAGGTGGGGGACATTGAGCCCTTGACTGACGTCCTGTCGTCCATGAGCATGCGGTCCTGTCTCAACATCACAGACGTGTCTCTGGCCAGATCAGGACAGTATGATTGTCACGTGCATGAGGGTGTGCTGAACCAGAGAGCTTCAGCCAGTATTAACATCACTGTACTGGGTAAGAGCTGCAGATGCATCACATTTACATAAAGTACAGAATAAAGTCTGGCTACTCAAATCAGTGAAGGTCAACAACAGGGTTATTATAGTGAATTAAAACTAAAACCATGAAAACCTTTCATTACATGAAAAAACTTTAAATGAAAAAAAAACGTTTTTTTTTTTATTATTATTTTAAATTTTAATTAATAATTTTAATTCAGTTATTTTATTTCAGCCAACTACCATAGCAACATTTCTTATTTTCATTTAGTTTAACTTTATGTATTAAAATAACTAAAACTAAAACTGAAATAAAAATTAATAAAAACCATATAGACTTATAAAAACCAGGGTTATTGTAGTTAACTAAAATTTAAACCATGAAAAAAGGTTCAATACATAAAGTAAATTTTTAAATTTAATTTAATTTAATTTATATTTATTAAATACATTATAAATATACAATTTTTTTTTTTTTTACTGTTTTACTATTAAATTATTTTTAATTTATTTATTTCAGCTAGTTGCCTATTTTCATTTAGTGTAACTTGAACTAAAATAACTAAAATGAAAACCGAAACAAATAATAAAAAAATATATATAAATAAATGAAAAAACTAAAATAACAAAAATTACTAAACTTTTAACTGAAATTAAAATGAATAATTTGTGAACATGATCAAAAATGCTGGCGGTGGCTGGAAATTTAAAAATAACACTCTGGCAGGAAAAGAATTCAAATCTCTATTTTGACTCATTATTTGATCAGACTGGCAAAATTTTTGGACAAAAATAAAATATAAACAAAGCATAACAAAACCTCAAAAATGCTTAAAAATGTTATTCAATTTATTAATTGAATTAAGTTTTGTTGTTTTTATTTAATAATATTTAAATACTTATATTGAAATATTTTATTCATAATAAATACCCCAGCTTTGGGAAGCAGCAATTTAAATGACTTTTCACTACAGAATTATTTTCACATAGTATTTCTATTTTTTTTTTAAATAGACAAGTGTGTGAGTGTATCACAGAGATACTATTAGAATTTTTATTCATATTTTATATTAGTTTTAATTAGTGCTGTCAAACGATTAATCGCGATTAATCGCATTCAAAATAAATGTGTTTGTTTACATAATATATGTGTGTGTACTGTGTATATGTATTATGTATATATATAAATACAAACACATGCATGTATATATTTAAGAAAAATGTTATATTTGTATATTAAATATAAAAATTATATAAATATAAATATATGTTTCTGGTAAAACCAGAGCTGTATGAAGTGCGGCCTTCATCATCTGAGCTGTAAGATCTGGGTGGTGTGTTTTCAATGATGCTTTGATGCAAACCTTAATTAAATCAACAGCCGTCCCTTTAAAACAAGAGCTCAGTCTCACAGCATCTCCTGTGATGGTGTTTGCTCTCGTCACAGGGGAAAGGCTGCGTGTGAATGAGACCTTCTGCTGAAGGAAGGAGTTATGTTTATGTTTGACATGATGAAGCCACAGCCGTACACAGAAACCCTGGAGAGTCACAGGAACTGACTGTAGATCAACGCGGATCTTTGTTCAAGTGTCCGCAGCACATACACACACACACACACACACACACACACACACACACACACACACACACACACAGGATGCAGTGACTGCAGGCAGGCCTTTATGAAGAAAGTGCTTTTAGCACCTGAACCTTCGATTACGACCTAGCAGCCGCCAGCGAGAGCTCACTTATGGAATATTAAATAGATTATGTAGAAAGATGAGCAAGCAAAACTCACTCTGTCCTACTTATAAGATGTCATAATTTGATACACTAGCTTTCAAAAGTTTAGGGTCGGGGAGGTTTTTAATGCTTTTAAAGTGTTTTATGCTCATAGAGGCTGCAATTATTTGATTAAACAATAGAGTAAACGTAATAAAAATTTGAAATCTTATTACTATTTAAAGTAGCTGTTTTCTATGTGAATATTTTGTACAATTTAATTTATTCCTGTGATCAAAGCTGAATTTTCAGCATCATCACTCCAGTCTTCAGTGTCACATGATCCTTCAGAAATCATTCTAATACACTGATTTGCTGCTCAAGAAACATTTCTGATTATTATCAACATTGAAAACAGTTGTGCTGCTTCATATTTTTGTAGAAACCGAGAAACATTTTATTTTTTCAGGATTCTTTGATCAATTGAAAGCTCAAAAGAACAGCAGTTATTTGGAATGCAAATTTTTTTTGGAACATTATAAATGTTGCACTGTCACTTTTGATCAATTTAATTTATCCTTGCTAAATAAAAGTATTAATTTCTTTAAAAAATAAAATATTTTCTTTAAAAAAAGAGTATGGCTCATCCCAAACTTTTGAACAATATATGTAAATATGTGACCTTGGACCACAAAACCAGTCTTAAGTGTCAATTTTTTTAAATTGGGATTTATACATCATCTGAAAGCTGAATAAATAAGCTTTCCATTGATGTATGGTTTGTTAGGATATAGGACAATATTTGGCCGAGATACAACTATTTGAAAATCTGGAATCTGAGGGTGCAAAAACATCAAAATATTGAGAAAATCGCTTTTAAAGTTGTCCAAATTAAGTTCTTAGCAATGCATATTACTAATCAAAAATTAAGTATTGATATATTTACGGTAGGAAATTTACAAAATATCTTCATGGAACATGATCTTTACTTTAATATCCTAATGATTTTTGGCATAAAAGAAAAATTGATAATTTTGACCCATACAATGCATTTTTGGCTATTGCTACAAATATACCCGTGCGATTTAAGACTGCTTTTGTGCTCCAGGGTCACATTTAATAATAAGTTGTGCATATTGACAAGAACTATTACTACTATTGGTCATAGTTAGTATTAAACTTCAGTGTAACTCGTCCTGATCATTTGTATTAACAATATTTTCATCTGTCTGTCTGTCTGTAGAGAAAGGCTTCGTGGCTCTTTCTTCACATCTGGGCAGGAACGTCTCGGCACTGCTCGGAGAAAACGTGGAGCTGAAGGTGGAGATTGAGGCGTATCCCAAACCCAGCGTGCAGTGGACTAAAGACGGCGCTGCTATCAGAGGACACAGCACCAGACAAGAACAAGAGACAGGGTAATGATGCTCTCAACACACCCTCTCTATTAAACAACACTCAAGCTTTCCACGGGATCTCAGACTCTTGTGTGCTCCACATCTGCTGCAGGTTTGTCAGCACACTGACCCTGGTCAGGATCCGACTGGAGCAGATGGGTCTCTACACCGTCAGTGTCCAAAACCAAGATGACTTTAAAGAGATGACCTTTGACCTAGAGGTGAAAGGTGAGACAGTTTGACATCTATTTACACACCACCCCCATTTCCTGAAAACAGACACCCGTTTAGGTCTGGACCAAGAATAACAGCAGCTGCTGGGATTACTGTGAAACTGTTCATTAAATTGAATTTCATTTCATTTAATTATTATTTTTTTGTTTATTGACCAAATATTTATGTTTACAATTTAATTTCTTTAATTAAATTTTATGTTTAATTTTTGGTTAATTTAACCTAATTTAATACTTAAAGGGGTCCTATTATGCTCTTTTACAAAGTCTTGATTTTGTTTTGGGGGTGTACTAGAACAGGCTCTCATACTAGGTTGTTCGAAAAACACATTATTTTTCACATTGAAGTAAAAGTAAAAGTTACTCAAAATAAAACTACTCCAGTAAAGTACAGATACTTGAAAAATGTATCGAAGTAAAGCTACTCTGTTACTGTCCACCACTGTTGTAGTCCAAACGAGTCGTTCGTTGTAGTTTTTGAAAAGTGATTTCTGTTCAATAAAATATCTCCTTTTGAATTGGACTTTGAACTTTGTAACTTTGCAGATCTTTTTTATGCTCAAACAGCAACATTACAGACTAAGTAAAGTTGAAAAAGTGAAAAAGCATAATAGCACCCCTTTAACTAAATATTTAGTTTAATTTAATTACATATGTAATAATATTTAAATAGTTTAATTAAAATTTTAATTTATTTTTATAAATAATTTTACTTAGTTTAATATGTGAATTGTTTAATTTAAACTAATATTTAATGTAATATTTAATTAGTTAATTTAGTGTAATTAAATGTTTAACAAAATATTTAATTTGGTTAATTTAATTAAATATGTAATGTAATATTTAATTAGTTGAATTACATTTTTTATTTATTTCTATTTATTTGATAATTAATTTTACTTTATTTAATATTTTAATTGTTGATTTTATTTTAATATTTCATTTGTTTAATATAATTAAAATGTTACAATTAGTTGAATTTAATTTCAGGGAATTTATTTGATAATTGATTTGATTAATTTAATAGTTTTGATAGTTTATTTTGATATTTCATATGTTTAAATTAAACAAATGAAATATTAAAATAATGTAATTTGTTTAAATTAATGTATTTATATGATAATTAATTTAATTTAGTATTTTAATAGTTTAATTTAATGTTTAACATATTATTTAATTCATTTTATATATTTAAATATGTCATTTTATACTTAATTTGTTTAATTTAGTATAATGTAATATTGAATTCAATATTTAATTCTGGTTATCTACATGTAATTTAATATTTAACTCTGTTAAATTAATTTAATTCAATATTTCATTTGTTTAATTTAATTAATAAACAAATATATTACTCATTACTTGCATTTAAAAATGACGGTTCACCTTTAAAGGGTTAGTTCACCCAAAAATGAAAATTCTGTCATTAATTACTCACCCTCGTGTTTCTTTGCGCAAAAAAGTATTCTCGTAGCTTCGTAACTTTACAGTTGAACCACTGATGTCACACGGACTACTTTGTCGATCATCTCGGTACTTTTCTGGACCTTGAACGTGGTAGTTACCTTGCTGTCTATGGGAGGGTCAGAGAGCCCTCAGATTTCATCAAAAATATCTTAATTTGTGTTCCGAAGATGAACGAAGGTCTTACAGGTTTGGAATGACATGAGGGTGAGTAATTAATGACAGGATTTTCATTTTTGGGTGAACTATCCCTTTAAGCGTCTTGATCAGTTTATTTCTCATTTATTCTGTGAGGTTTTGGTTTGTGTTATCGTTGTTAACTGATGTCACTTCCTGTCTCTGTAGTTCCTCCTCAGATAACTGAACTCTCTGACCATCAGCTGCCGGGTAAGAAGCATGCGGTCACCTGTGTGGCGGAGGGAGTGCCGTCTCCCAGCATTCAGTGGTTCAGCTGTGACAGCATGCCCAAGTAATGACACACCTTCATCATCATCATCACAAATGCATCTTATATGAATCTGTGTATTTGTTAGGCTTCCACTAAGGTGAGCAGCACATACTGTGTTTAGCATACGAGATGCAATACTAGATTATCAGCCAACATTTTACAAATATTTCCCCTTTAATGACTCTCATTCATATTTAATACGAGCTGTATGCGAGATGAGTAAATATAAAGTTGATGAGTTTGCACAGCACTCAGAAAGCATTACATAAACACACACATCAGCGTAATGAAGGCAAGTCGATCAGGCTGCGTCTGTCCATCATGCAAACGCTGCGCACATGCTGATTAAAACAGCGAAGAGCTGCACAGAAATACTTCTGTATGAATAATATATAGCACACATGCTGTAACAGCCATTAGTGCACACCTCTCCTGTCACAGCACACTTCCTTCATGGGTGCAGCACACTTATGAGGGCGCAGAATTAGCATATATAATGCATGTATATTATTGGGTGTGTTTGTTCTGGTTTGTAAATGGTCTTTGTGCTTTTTATAAAAGTGCATATTATATAAAGTATTCAGATTTCAATTTTTGATGTGTTTGGGTAAATTCATAATGGCATGGCATAATACTCAGTATCTGCAGTATGTAACCATCGTATACACAAAATGTACACACATTTTCTCTATGGATGAAATACTCAGATGACCCAGATGTGTGTGTGTGTTTATTTATTTACCTATATTTAATTTCTATTTAATTTTAGGAT